GGCAGGAGCAGCGGCGGGGCCGTCAGGTGAGGCGGCGGGCCGGCAGGATGCAGCGGCGGGGCCGTCAGAGGCGGCGGCGGGGCCTCGGCAGTAGAGGCGGGGCCGCGTCAGGGGAGGCGGCGGGGCCGCGTCAGGGGAGGCGGCGGGGCCGCGTCAGGGGAGGCGGCGGGGCCGCGTCAGGGGAGGCGGCGGGGCCGCGTCAGGGGAGGCGGCGGGGCCGCGTCAGGGGAGGCGGCGGGGCCGCGTCAGGGGAGGCGGCTGGGCCGCGTCAAGTAGGCGGCGGGGCCGCGATCAGGAGAGGTGGCGGGGCCGCGTCTGAGGGACAGCGGGGCCGCGAGGGAAAAGGCGACCCGAGGGGTCGCTAAAAAAAAAGGCGCGCCTCGGGGCGCGCTTCGGTGGGCCCAAAAAACGGTCCTAAGGCAGGACCCGCTCTATACCATGTGAAGTAATGAAAACAGGAATGGAATGACTAAGGAAAGATTGGGTAGAAATACAACCCTAGAAACCCTGTACCCCATATGTGCTACCCCAATATAGCCTACAGCAAATATGTCATATAAATCTGACAATTTCGCTGTAGCTGCTGCAATTCGCTGCTGCAACCTGGCGCCGAATGTCAGTTTTCAGCGTCGCGATGTAGGACTGAATTTTTTCGCCCTCGGTAATGTCGGGAATGCGATTATAAAATTCCTCCATCTGCTGCGTGTATTGCGCGACACTCCCGTATTGCCTATGGTGATGTAATTTTTCGCGCGCAATATAAGTGGAATTAATCGGCTCAAAACGTTTGAGAAGGTCTGCCCGGAACTGCTGCCACGTGGCTTCGCCCTGGAAAATGCTACTGTTGCTTCCGAGCCACTCGAGAGCTGGACCGCGCATCAACGTTGTCGCGAGACGAATTTTCTCGCCGTCGTACTCCGTCGTCGTCCATCCGATCGCCGCGAAATAAATTTCCATCGTCGCGAGCCACCGCCTGACGTCGGATTTTCGATCGCTAGGGTCGAACGATTCCGGCGAGCGAAGTTTCGGAACCTCGAACTGACGCTGCGACTGCTGCGAAGTTGTCGAAGCAGGAATGTTCATGGTCGAGAGGAGCCGCGTAACGCGCTGCAGTTTGTTTCGCATCTGCTCGTTCTCCAATCGCGACCGTTCAGTCGTCGCTCGCATCTCCGCTTCCATCTTGGCGATTTGCGCGAAGAGCTGCTGCGTAACGTCGTTGGTCGCCGGCGAACCCATCCTGTTCAAAAACCACGCGAGGGGGTTAATTCGAAAAGCGCGGAACTGGTACTTACCAGAAATCGGCGTCGAATTGGTCGCCCCCGGCGGTTTTTCGAGGCGATTTTTTCCGCGACCGCAGCTTAGCCGAGAGTTGTCGAGTGAGAACGGCTCTGATTACCAAGTGTCACAGGATCGAATTCTCGATCGAAACTTGTCACTAAAACTGAATACAAGGCCTATTTATACTCGGAAAGTACAAGGATAAACGAGATAAAACGAACCTTCGGGAACACACCCTTCCCGATACTACAATCACAAGTGCGCATAAGCACGCAAGTCTATTGGCACTTGGGATTACGCCCAGATTAAACCGTATACACCACTGTCGGCGCTGTCGGTGCCGTATAATAGGTATGTCGGTGGGAAAAGTAGGAAATATGAGAAATAAATAGAAGGCTCTAGAAAATAGAATAGTAGGCCGATTGAGATGAGATAAAGACCAAAATAAAGAGGAGAAAAGGGAGAATGGGATAACGGAAAAATATAATAGTGAGAAAATATTATAACGGGGACGTCCTCTCACAAGAACCATCTCGAAGGTTCGGCAAGATTCCCTGCCAGCGCAGCGTAGATGCTGCCACGCAGGCGCCTCTATGGGAGTAGGCGGGGGTTTCCTGCCTGTCATCGACGAGGAACCCGAGCCGCCACGCAGCAGGGGTCCCCGTCGTTGCCCATTTCTTCACCCTCGTCTCTAATTTTTTCATTCAGTTTCCTGTCTAGCCCGCCTGGCAGGCGAAGCCATGGCGGAATTTAGTGGGACTCACATCCTCTTCAAGAAGAAACCACGCCGCACATGGCGACTTACCGAGGACGGGTGGTATACTCGTGAGCCACCAGCGCCTCCAGTGCCACCGGATCCCCCTGCACCCCCTGCTCCTCCTGCTCCCCCTGTGCCTCCTGCTCCACCCGCTCCTCCCGCACCTCCCGCTCCTCCGAATCCGCCTTCTTTTGCTACGGCAGGTGCTCACCAACGGCCCGTGCTCCAACTGTATTTACCCGCCACATTCGACGAATGGTTGGCTGAAGCGGACACATCCAAGGCCCCCGATGCACGCATCCAAGCTCCGCCGACTGCACCATGGTGGGGACAACCAGAAGCCTGCGCGTGGGATGAGTCGGCTGTGGGCGCCGACGATGATGTGGCTGCTGACAAACATGACAGCGGCGACGGCGAAGCTGGAGGCTACGGTGAAGCTTGTGGCGACGGTGCAGCGGGCGACGAGGAAGACGTGTTCCCCGACCGTGACACAACTGCCGAGGACGAGGACGGTGTGGAGTCCTGGTGGCGCGACGCACCACGCGCGAAGATGCCGGTACCGACGTATCCGCCCCTTAACAAAAAACGCCCCCACCCGTCTACCGAGAATCGAGATGCCCGCCCCCCCTCCCCCAGGCACAAGCAGACTCAACATAAGCGGCAGTCCTACACCGCCCAGGAGAAGTTGAGGTGGCTCGTGCGGCTCGAGCTTGCGGCTTCGGTGAGCGAAGTGGCGCGGGAGTCAGGCATACACCGAAAATGTTTGACAGAATGGAAAGCCCAAGCGGAGGCGCTCAAGGCTGCACACGGAGCACGGATGCAACTTCACGGGCACGGGAGGGCGTCTTGGTACCGCCCCATGGAGTTAAAGGTGTACGCGCAACTCCTCGACTGGCGACGCCGCGGAGTTGCGGTTTCGGTCGGCCGGCTGCAAGAGTGGTCCAAAGAAGTGATGAAGGTTCTCTACCCGGACGTCAAGTGGAAAGGCAGTCAGCGGTGGACGGAGCGGTTCCGCAAGCGGTGGAGCCTCAGCGTGCGCATGAAAACAAAGGTGGCGCAGAAAACACAGGAGCGTAAGTGGGTCGTTTACTGCTGATTTTGATTTATCCCGATTATGCTTAGTTTCTTTTTCGCATGTCTCCTGTGCGTGATACTAATTTGGTTTACTATATGTACTTATCTCCCTGTTCCGCAGACGTGGCTGAGCAGTGCAAGGATTTTTGGCAGTACGTACGTGACGCCCGGAACGAATACGACATTGACAGCCGCTACATCATCAACGCCGACCAGACACCGCTGTGGTTGGAGATGCCGGCGACGACCACCGTGGAGCAGACGGGCGTGAGGTCGGTGCCCATCCGCAGCGGTGGGTACCAGAAGGAGAGAGTGACCATCATGCTTGCGTGCACGGCGACGGGCGAGAAGCTGAAGGCGTGGGTGTTTTTCAAGCGCAAGACACTCCCCAAGGGTGACTTCCCGAACGGTAAGTGATCGTCGCGCGTGTTTATTCCCGTTACTACCAGAGTCGTCAACCGTTTCTTTTTCCTTGCGTGCAGATGTTGTGCTCGGCTGCCAAGCGAATGGGTGGATGGAGGACGCTGGCGTCATCGAGTGGCTCAACACGGGCGTGGTGCCGTTCCTGAAGCCGAAATTTGGCTTGCAGAGTCGTAGCGCCATGCTGGTGCTCGACTCCTATCGCGGTCACCTGACACCAGAATTCAAAGAGAGATTCGCGGCGTTCAACATCGTGCCTGCGATCATTCCGGCGGGATGCACGGCAGACCTGCAGCCCCTCGATGTGTCGATCAATAAGAGCTTCAAAGCAAGCATTCGTCAGCAGTACCAGAATTGGTTTGAGGAGGACGGCATGAACATCCTGACCCCGGCAGGTGAGTGACGACATGTGCTCCCGTCTGCAAATCTTGAGCTTGTATGCCTGTTTACTTGTCTCATGTTTTCCCCGCCCCACTCCGTGTGATGCAGGGAACATCAAGAAACCACCTCCGGAGGTGGTGCTCAAGTGGATTTCACGGGCGTGGAAGGCGGTGCCCGCCGACCTCATCAAGAAAGCCTTCCTCACGTGCGGCATCAGCAACGCCCTTGATGGGAGCGAAGACAAACTGGTGCTGGCGCACCGGAGAGGCCAGTTGTCCCATGAGGTGGAGGTGGACGACGACATCCAAGCAGATGGGTTCTGGGGCAACAACTCCACGGAGCCCGAGTCGGACGAGGAGGAAGAATAGGCAGTAGGGTAGACTAGGCAGGTTGAAAGGTGTGTAGTGCAGGACAGCAGAGACCACCCTTGTATGTGATTGTCTAAGTTAATGGAAAGTTTAGAACATGTAGGCTAGGTAGGTAAAAAAAAATGATATTTTTTTTAAAAACTAAAAGGGTGCGCTTATAATAAGTCACGATTTCCCAAGGGGTGCGCTTTTAATTGAGGATCGGCCATAAGCGCATTGCTCCAGATACAAGCGCATGCGCTTAACATAGGCCTGCGCTTATATCCGGGGCCATACGGTATATAGCGAAACTATAGTGGTAACGGTAATGCGTGAAAATGGGGTGCGCGACGGGCCTGGCGCCTAGGTTGGGAATTGCCGAGGCGGAGGTCCGGAGCGCGGGTTACCAACCGAACCGCGAGGTTGGGTCGCGTCGTGAACATCGACAGGAATAGTGTCGAGCCAAATGTCGCGAGTGGTAACGGTATACTTTTGGGTGTTGTTGGCAAGAACAGTGGTGTACGCGCTGATCATGGACGCTAAGTAAGGAAAAGGAAATTTCCTTACGACTAGACCTGATTGAATGAAAGCAGAACCGAATCCTTCTACATAATTTGAATCACTATGTAACTTGACAATCTTAATCATCAAATCAGGCATTCAAATTTTAATACAAATCGTGTTGTATATTAGGAGCATAAATGGACAGGTCCGGCACCTTCACATGGTTGTTCTTAAAATTATTAAATGCGAGGGGCGAGGGAAGGCGGACCACGAGCTTCCAACGCGATCACAGAAAATGCCTCCATGTAGTATGGGGAAGACACTCTGCACAACATTGTGAAAAGAACATAAACAGCATAAATGTAAACACCAATATGAGCCATTTGAGTCACCCGAAGATTGCACATGCACACAAATGTAAGTTAACATTTGAGTGCCCTTCAGTATCATATGTACCAGTATTGTCACATACCTTCCAGCGATGGATGGAGGCATGCCTTGGGCCGGCAGCTCTGTGGCGTCAGCCGGATAGTCCTTAGCCGTGTCCAGCACAAGGTGCCTGCGTGCAACACATGTCATAAGCCGAATGCCGCACCACATGCCATGCACCACATGACATGCACCACATGACATGCACCACATGACATGCACCTCATGACATGCACCACATGACATGCACCACATGACATGCATCTCATGACATGCATCACATGCCATGCACCATGTGACATGCATCATAGTCCATACGTAACATGTCACGTGCCCCACCCAGACGCACATGCCATATCAAATGCGTATACAGTACACATCCACATGCCGTGTGCAGTCATACGTTGAAATGAGCAGTAAACAAAGTGCGATGTCTCATAGGGCATGAGTTACGGGTCAATTGCCCCAGCTCATGGAGCATGGGTCATGAATCGTGGTTTACATGTCATGGGTTATGGGGGTCGTGGTCATGGCTTCTGGTTCATGGGGCATAAGCCATGGGTCAGACCCCATGGAATTTGCAACATGAGTCAAGTTTTGAGACGTCTAGCTCATGGATTCTGCAACATAAGTGATGGCGCATCATAGCTGATGGATCATGAGTCCATGAGGGTAACCTCGACTCTACTTACCACATCATGCCGGTAGGCGGAGCAGGCAGCTCCACAATCATCTCACTCGCATGGGCATTGAAGGCGAAGTAGAGATCGCCGACCGGCATGCTGGGTGCTCAACTTCTGTGGCCCCTCAACAGTCGTGAAGAACCTCAACCTCACTCACTTACCACATCATGCCAACAGGCGGGGCAGGCAGCTCCACAATCATCTCGTTTGCATGGGCGTTGAAGGCGAAATAGAGATCGCCGACCGGCATGCTGGGTGCTACAGCCGGAGCCGCAGTGGTAATCGGCACTCCTGCCTCCTCTGCCGCCTCCTTGGCTGAGGACTCGATGCCGGCACTGTGAACGGTGCAGGCCAGGAAGCAGCTGCAGGGGTGGGGGGAGGAAGGGGGAAGAGGAGAGGGTGAATGGTGTGTATGTTTACAAGGCGCCGAAGATACATACTCCTTGGCTGAGGACTCAATGCCGGCACTGTGAACGGTGCAGGCCAGGAAGCAGCTGGTGGGGGGGGGGGAAGAAGGGTTGAGGATGTGGGAAGGGAAGCATGGGGCGTGGTTCATGAGGCACCGTGGAGATTTCTCCTTGGACGATGGCTCAAAGATGGTATTATGATTGATGCAAGATAGGAAGCAGCTGGAGGGTTGGGGGAAATGGTCAAGGGATATGGAGAAGGGAGGATGAGGGGAGCCGTGTTGTGCAGGAGTGCTGTAGCTGCTGCTGATGACGATGATGATGATGATGATGATGATGATGATGATGATGATGATGATGATGATGATGATGATGATGATGATGATGATGATGATGATGATGATGATGATGATGATGATGATGATGATGATGATGATGATGATGATGATGATGATGATGATGATGATGATGATGATGATGATGATGATGATGCTGCCGGTGGTATGAAAGAAAGGGACGACTGAGAAGGAGCAAAAATGGGTGCCAAGAGGGGTAAGCCAAGCAGTAAGGAAGAGAAGTAGGGAATTTTGGAAGTAAGAAAAGCTCAGTGTGTGACGAAGTAATCTGACTGTGTACCCTGAAGGCTCAGTCCGTCTAACAAGTTTCAGATCATATTCACAAGCTTCGGCCCATCAGCAAGGTTCGGAGCGTACCAGTTGGGGTTGTCCCATTCCGGCTGGTTGGGAAAGGCGCCGTGCCACACAATGTCCTCCCCGAAATAGAAGTCCTTGCGCTGCCATGGGGGTGGGGATGAGGATGGGGATGGGGATGAGGATGAGGATGGATTGGGGATGAGGAGGTGGAGAGAAGGAGAGGCAGCCCGTGCAGGGAATCTTATTTGTTGAATCATAGCATGCTCAGACTAGACCAGTCCACATGTACACATATTGAATGGTTAACACACATGTAGCAGTAATGAAAATTGCCTTGTGCCATTGACACACCGCAGCAGCAAGCAGCCGACTTCACTCGCTCCTTTCCCATCTCCTCTCCTCGTCTCACCTGCAGCAGCAGCGTGCTACAGAGCTCACTCACCTCCCTTTCCTCCCGTCTCCATTCGTCTCACCTGCAGCAGCAGCGTGCGGCGGCGGCGGAAGTTGGCAAGAGAGGCGATGAAGCGAGTGAGCTGCACTCCCAGGTCCGTGCGCAGGGCGCTCCAGAGAAAGGGGGAGTCGCTGTGAGGGGGCAGGCAGAGTAGCAGACAGACAGGCAGCAAGCAAGCAAGAATGAGAAAGAGATGGCATTGAAACGAGTGAGCTGCACTCCCAGGTCCGTGCACAGGGCGCTTCAGAGGTGGGGGGACTCGCTAGGAGGGAGGAAGTAAGATGTAGAGGGGAGGTGGTAAAAAGCAAGTGAGGTAGAGAGATCTCATTGACGTGACAAGAGCTGCATTTCCAGGGCTGAGTCCAGGGCGCACCAGAAGAAGGGAAGGGGAACTTGTTGGAAGGGACGCAGGTAGCATGAGAGAAAGAGGCAGCATCGAGGATTGAAACGTCTCAACATCGAGGATTGAAACGTCTCAGCATCGAGGATTGAAACGTCTCAACATCAAGTTTTGCTAGGCGAGCTTGCCTAGTACCACTCAGTGCTTTCATCAGATTAGTCAGGTCGGTCGAACCGAGCTTGCAGCTTTCTACCAGTTTTCTTAGTTTGAGGCAGCATCGAGGATTGAAGCGTCTCAACATCGAGGATTGAAACGTCTCAACATCGAGTTTTGAGACGTCTCAAAACTCTGAGTCCAGGGCGCATCAGAAGAAAAGGAACTTGTTGGTTGGGAGGAAGGGACGCAGGCAGCATCGAGGAGAGGAGGTGGGTAGGAAGCGAGGAAGCATGAGAGAAGGAGGTGGCAAAGAGGTGAGGTGAGGTGAGATGAGATGAGATAAGGTCTCAGTGCTGTGTGTGTGCCTCGATGGAGAGCGTGCTCGGTGGCAAGGGATGGGCAAAGCCGACAGATAGACATAGAAGCAGAGACATGCACAGACAGACGGGCAGGCAGATGGGCGGGCGGCGAGCAGGCTGGTGAGTGACGGGTGGGCAGCCCGTAGGCAGGTGGGCGGGCACGCAGGGAGAGGGAGTGGCGACGGCAGACGAGGCAGGGCGGAAGAGGAGAAAGTGTTTTGAGACGTCTCAAAACACTTCTTCATACACAGGCACACACGAAGAGGGAGTGGCGAGGACAGATGTGACAGGGAGGAGGGAGAGGAGGGGAGCACTGACGAGTAATCTGCTCCCAGCTGTGCGTCCTTGGAGTGGCCGTACTCGTCGCCAGCTGTCAGCACCGGCACGCCCAGCGAGAGGAAGAGCACTGCCAGGTGGTTGCGCACCTGGGGGGGAGGGGGAGAGGAGGGGGGAACCAGGAGTGAGTGAGAGCGGTTGAAGGCGGTTGAGGGCGATTGATTCGCCTCACAGCACCCCCAGCAAGCGGAAGAGCACTGCCAGGTGGTTGCGCACCTGAGGGGGAGGGGGAGGAGGAGCGGAGGGGGAAACCAGGAGTGAGTGAGAGCGGTTGAAGGCGGTTGCGCACCTAGGGGAGGGGGAGGAGGAGGGGGAGCAGGGACATGTGGAGTGGAGGCAGGGAAGAGTGGACGGAAGCAGAGGTGCGAGCGAGTGAGGGGAGTTGATGGCGGTGTCTAGAAGGTTGCTCACACAAGGAAAGTCTAGGCTCAGTCCCATTCCAATCCCCACCCTCTCACTCATCTACCTCCTTCCCACCCTCTCACTCATCTACCTCCTTCCCACCCTCTCACTCATCTACCTCCTTCCCACCCTCTCACTCATCTACCTCCTTCCCACCCTCTCACTCATCTACCTCCTTCCCACACTCTCACTCATCGACCTCCTTCCCACCGTCATTTTCCCTCATTGTTTCTTTGGTTCTCACAATTCTGCCCTCTGCCTTCAGCCCTCTGCCCTCTGCCTTCAGCCCTCTGCCCTCTGCCTTCAGCCCTCTGCCCTCTGCCTTCAGCCCTCTGCCCTCTGCCTTCAGCCCTCAGCCCTCTGCCTTCAGCCCTCTGCCCTCTGCCTTCAGCCCTCTGCCCTCTGCCTTCAGCCCTCTGCCCTCTGCCTTCAGCCCTCTGCCCTCTGCCTTCAGCCCTCTGCCCTCTGCCTTCAGCCCCCCGCCCTCTGCCCTCTGCCTTCAGCCCTCTGCCCTCTGCCTTCAGCCCTCTGCCCTCTGCCTTCAGCCCTCTGCCCTCTGCCTTCAGCCCTCTGCCCTCTGCCTTCAGCCCTCTGCCCTCTGCCTTCAGCCCTCTGCCCTCTGCCTTCAGCCCTCTGCCCTCTGCCTTCAGCCCTCTGCCCTCTGCCTTCAGCCCTCTGCCCTCTGCCTTCAGCCCTCTGCCCTCTGCCTTCAGCCCTCTGCCCTCTGCCTTCAGCCCTCTGCCCTCTGCCTTCAGCCCTCTGCCCTCTGCCTTCAGCCCTCTGCCCTCTGCCTTCAGCCCTCTGCCCTCTGCCTTCAGCCCTCTGCCCTCTGCCTTCAGCCCTCTGCCCTCTGCCTTCAGCCCTCTGCCCTCTGCCTTCAGCCCTTCAGCCCTCTGCCCTCTGCCTTCAGCCCTCTGCCCTCTGCCTTCAGCCCTCTGCCCTCTGCCTTCAGCCCTCTGCCCTCTGCCTTCAGCCCTCTGCCCTCTGCCTTCAGCCCTCTGCCCTCTGCCTTCAGCCCTCTGCCCTCTGCCTTCAGCCCTCTGCCCTCTGCCTTCAGCCCTCTGCCCTCTGCCTTCAGCCCTCTGCCCTCTGCCTTCAGCCCTCTGCCCTCTGCCTTCAGCCCTCTGCCCTCTGCCTTCAGCCCTCTGCCCTCTGCCTTCAGCCCTCTGCCCTCTGCCTTCAGCCCTCTGCCCTCTGCCTTCAGCCCTCTGCCCTCTGCCTTCAGCCCTCTGCCCTCTGCCTTCAGCCCTCTGCCCTCTGCCTTCAGCCCTCTGCCCTCTGCCTTCAGCCCTCTGCCCTCTGCCTTCAGCCTTCTGCCCTCTGCCTTCAGTCCTCTGCCCTCTGCCTTCAGCCCTCTGCCATGAGTACTTAAGGGACCCTCTAGTGCCTCCATCCTCATTATTTCTTTGGTTCTCATCTTTTTCTCTCTCTCCTCTCTCTCTCCCACACCTGTCTCAGGCCCCACCTGTCTCAGGCCACACCTGTTTCAGCTGTGTCCTCATCACCCCTTCATCCACACTCACTCCCACCACACCACAGTTCCACCCGGCTCAGCCCCGCCCCACCTGTCTCCGCGCTGCACCCTCTCTTTCCCCCCACCTGTCCCAATCCCCCCCACTGTCCCAATCCGCACCTGTTTCAGCCGTGTCCTCATCACCGCCGCATCCGCGCTCACGCCCTCCACACCGCAATTCCAGCTGCGTGAGACAAGAGGGCATGCATGGCGGAAAATATCGAGGCTTTAAGCGCCTAAAACTCCTCACACACCACATTGGGGCATGAGGGAATTCTACCTACCGTACGTACCTGGTGTGCTGTCGCTGACTAGATGAGGTAGGGTGAGTGAACCCTAAGCAGATCCATTCTGACGAGGTCTGGCCGGGTACACCTTGGAAGAAACGTCTCAGCGTGTAATGAGTCTGCTTCTGAATCACTCAAAAGCAGGTTCAGCTGCTCGCACCTGGCATGCTGTAGCTGACGAGGTCAGGCCGGGTACACCTTGGCAGAAATGTTTCTAAGTCGCCACATGGCAGCAGCATGGCAGCACGCTGAGTTAGATGCGATGTGCAAGGGTGGCGAACGCGCACCTGGCCTCTGAATCCATGCTGTAGCTGACCAGGTCCGCCAGGGTGAGCCCTTGGAACGCAGTGATGTAGTTGAAGGCGAAGGCTGGGCCGCGGCCTGAGGAGAAGAGGTCGCCACTGGGGGGGAGGACGGGGAACAGTGAAACGGGCGGAGGGGGAGGCGGAAGGGAGCCAGAGTGAGTCTCTGGAACGTTATGATGTAGTTGAAGGCAAACGCCAGGCCTCGCCCCGAGGAGAAGAGGTCAGCACTGGGAAGGGAAACGAAAAGGGGGAAGGGGGAAGGGACAAGGGACAAGGGGCAGCAGGGGGAAGGGAGAATGGGGGGTGGGAGGGTAAGGGGGAAAACGGGAGAGGGGAGAGGGTGCGCCCTTGGAATGCGGTGATGTGGTTGACGGCAAAGGCTGGGCCCCGCCCTGAGGAGAAAAGGTCGCCACTGGGAAGGTGGGGAGGAAGGAGAGAGGGATAAGGAGACAGGGGTTAGGGGAGATGGGGAAGGGGAGAGGGGATATGGGAGTCGAGGGAGGGTAGAGACAGATGAGAGAGGAGGGAAGTGGAGAGGAGAGTGAGGGAGGGAAGAGGATGAAAGGGAGAGGATGAAGGGGAAAGGAGGGAGGGGAGAGGAGGAAGGGTAGAGAAGGAAGGGGAGAGGAGGAAGGGGAGAGGAGGAAGGATAGAGGAGGAAGGATAGAGGAGGAAGGGGAGAGGAGGAAGGGTAGATGAGGAAGGGGAGAGGAGGAAGGGTAAAGGAGGAAGGGGAGAGGAGGAAGGGTAGAGGAGGAAGGGGAGAGGAGGAAGGGTAGAGGAGGAAGGGGAGAGGAGGAAGGGGAGAGGAGGAAGGGTAGAGGAGGAAGGGTAGAGGAGCCACTGGAGAAATAAAAAAGATGAATGAGCTCACCTATGAGAGCCTTTCGGAGGCACGCACCTGCCACACAGCCGGGTTGCCAGCCCGCTGATCTGACCGGGCTGCCCGGAAACAAATCTGCGGATGTCGAAGCAGAAAGCACTGTTCATCTCCTGCCACCGCTTCCAGTGTGGGAATGCAAAGGCCTGCCCGGGTCCAAAGAGGGGATTTACCCAGGAAAAAAAGGGGGGTTACACAGGGTAGGGATGATTGGTTGGAGAAGGATGAGCAATGATTGGTGGGAGAGGAGGAGAACTGGGGGACAGGGACAGGTGGTGGGGGCTGCAGGTGGGATGGGTGGAAGAAGAAAAGAGATGAGCCAGATATGAGTCCTCACTATGAGCTGCTGGGGACCAACGACCAGGCCAGTCACCTTCTACAAAAAAAAAATAAAAAAAAATCTAGGGTTTTGTTTTTATGCCACGATCACCTTGTGCGCGGAGAGAAGCGGCATGGCGGCATCGGCGACGAGCCGTGTTTTGAGTCGACTCAGAACATGACTCGGCGACGAGCTTGACGGCTGCCAGCAGCAGGTCTGGGATTGTGGGGACTGCTGGTCAGTGGCAGGCAGGCAGTGGCGGGGTAGGTAGTGGGGCTCACCCACCCAGAGAAGAGACATCACCACCACAACGAACCTCTTGGGCAGAGAGCAGCGGCATGGCGGCATCGGCCAAGAGGTTGACAGCAGCCAGCAGCGGGCTGAAGGCCAGAGCCTCCACGAGGGGCAGGCGGGACAGTGGTGAGTGGGTAGGTTGGTAGGGGACCGGTGGGGGGAGTTGCTGATAGGTTCAGCCAGACTCACCTTTTGAGCAGAGAGCAGCGGCATGGCGGCATCGGCCACGAGCTTCACTGCTGCCAGCAGCGGGTCAAAGGCCAGAGCCTCCACGAGGGGCGGGCGGGAGAGCGGCTGCGCGTGCGGCCCCGTGGTGAGAGCCGAGGCGTTGATGAAGGAGAAGCCGTCCACGTGGTACTCCTCCACCCAGTGGTGCAGCGCGTCGGTTATCTGGTGGGAGGAAGGGGGGAAGGAAAGGAAGGAGGGAGGCACAGGAGTGCAGTGCAGGGGCACAGCAGTTGATGAAGGAGAAGCCGTACTCGTGGTACTCCTCCATCCAGTGGTGCAGCGCGTCCGTGATCTGAATGGGGAGCAAGCGGGCATGGAAAGCGGGGGGGAGGGGTGCACAGCGGTGCAGGGTCACAATAGATGGCTGAGAAGCCGTCCTCGTGGAAGTCTTCCACCCAGTGGTGCAGGGCGTCGGTTTTCTGGTGGGAGGAAAGGGGGGTAGGGCAACGAGTGGGAGAGCGGGTGTTCATGGGTGCCCTTGTGCTGCAGGGTCACATTTGATGGCTGAGAAGCCATACTTGCGGTACTTCTCCACCCAATTGGTGCAGGGCGGCAAGCAAGCAAACTAGCAAGCAAACAAGAAAGCCCTAAGCAAGCGGACAAGCGAGCAAAGGGAAGAAGCAAGCAAGGCAAGGCACGTACGAGATTGAGTGCCACAGGGCTGTTGCAGTTGAAGGCATTGGGCGATCCATACTCCGGCACCACCTGATGGGGGTGGCACGATGGAAAGTGGTGGGCAGGAGGGCAGGGGGGGCAGGGGAGAGAGGGGAAAAGGGGCAGGGACCACTGTGAGTCAGTTTGGGTGGTGGTGGGGATGGCGAAAGCAATGCTGAGATTGCCTGTACCTACTCGCAACGGTCGAGTCAGTTAGGGTGCTCGTGTTGCACACCTCCACGTGGAACAGTGAGTTGGTGTGCTGGTCGAGGCAGTGGAGGTGTGCAAAAGGGTTGGGTGGGGTGCCTCCTTATAAACTGCCTGTACTGTACCTGCTTGCCAAAGGCGTCCACAATACAGTAGGCACGCGCGCGCACGGTTGTCAATGCCGCGGAAGGAAACGATATTCAAAGTGCCTCTCCTTGCTTGTCTCTTGCTCCCACTGCCCCACCTGCTTGCCAACAATCAGATGGTATAGAGGCCTCCTTATAAACTCTCCCCACCTGCTTGCCATAGGGATCATTGATGTAGTAGGCGCGGTTGTCAATGCCACGGA